GGGGGGAGGGGGCTGCTTGCCCTGCCAGCTTTTCTTCCTTCTGTGACTTTTTTTACCCTAAATAAAGGAGTGCCCGGGCCCTCCGAGATCCCTCCCCTAAATCCGCCACTGATATTGTTATCAGTGAAGTCACACTGCTGAAAAGTAACTTGCCAGAATATTTTGTTCCCTCTTGATACAAGCCTTGATTCTTGAGGCAATTATAAATTATTTCTTAGGAACCAAGTCTAACAAACAACTGAGATTCTCAAAAGAGCAAGCTTTTTTTATTTCTGGATAGTTACTGGCCACTTGCAACTGAAAATCCCACACAACAGAGGTGCATTTCTAAAACATGATATATTAGTCTCTACTCTCTTGTGCATTAGTTACAATATACTAGGTCTTATATATTCTTTTGATTTGGCTTTCTGCAGCTCGTAAATAATGTTAGTTGTAAGTCTCAAAATTAGCCCAATCATATTTATTAGGATACATGAGCTGCAGTCAAATCTCTACCATTTTCAGCTTTGTGTGAAAATGGGTCACATTTACTGACAAATAGTGTAATTTATGGCATATAAGCCATCAGGTTCAATTTCATGTTTGCCTAAAGACCAAACGATTTGCCAAGGAATGATTTATCAAAGCAAGATTAAATCGAAGGGCAAACAAGCTAGCTTTAATAGAAACAATACACTAGATAAGTCGTAAGTTTTGCGTACCTGTAGAATCGTGAATCCATGTTGAAGAATTATTTCTTCGATCTCATCGCTCTTGTGAATAGCATCTGGCTTAATTAACGCTAAGGTCCGTTCAATATGTATAGCTGGAGGAGGGGGTATCACGGGTTTTTCTCCTTCAGGCATTTTTACGTCTCAAAACTGCGTAAAATACACAGTCTAGCCTGATACGGATAGAAAAACAAAATGGCGGCTAAATTTACTGCCGTTGCCAAGGTTACTTGAAAATTGAAAACCGCTGACCAAAGTGAAACACAGGGTGCTTACCATTTAGCGAAAAAATCCGGAAATTTCGGTTGAAAGTCAAATGGAACAGTACTTTTGTGGAAAATCCGTTCGGAAATTGTAGACTACCTCCAGAGTTAGTCCTCTTTTTCTGTTCGGAACGGAACGGTGGAAATTTCCTTACCATTTGCTAAATTTTCCAGTTTCCAGTCTCTCATCAGCCGAAAACAATTACGAGAAATCGAATAGCAAATGGTAAGCGCCATCTCGTTCGGTTGGTTTGCTGATTTTGGAAAAACCCTTACCATTATTCAACGGTCATCCCAACCGGTTTATTCTGACAAATGGTAAGCACCCACATAATCTCACTCCCAGAGTCTCCCCGAGCCAGAGAGACTCTGGGCTTGTCACAATTTAATTGTGCAAGCCTCTTTGTCAGCCAACCTACTTGACAAAATTCCATTCGCAAAGTGCTTAAATAAACGAACTATTTCTTCAAAAATTTCACATGATTTCTTTTTCAAGTGCGTTTTGAAACAAACCATTTTTTTGTTGCCTTGGACTTTTGAAATACCACTTATTTTTAACTTGAAAAATAATCGCCGAACAAGCCCAGTGGGTTTTCTCTATTCAGGTCGAGAATCTAGAACACCTTTGGTCTCCTTTGCTCCTCGAATTCATGCCGTAAATTAAGAATCCTTGTGAAAAGTTTAATTGTGAACTGAATTTGTTTTCAAGACGGTGATTGCTGATATTAGAAATGTTTGCTCTCCAAGTGATAAACCTGTGTCAGTTATTCAAACGACTCCTGGGAGACGGATTAGCGAGAGTCTTCCAATGAACAAAGGAAACAAAAGAATCCATTGACACCTGGCTTCCTTACAATTTGGAACGCAAATAAATCTCGAATATGAAAGGTTATTTTAGTGCGTTGTTCTAAGCCATTAAGTTATTTACAAACCAGACTCAAAAATGCTTAAACTGTCTAGCTTAGAAATGTGGCTGCTCAGGCTCTGATTTCGCAAACGCTTCCTACCCCTGAAACAAGTTTTAATATCGCTTACAGTTCCAGTCACAAAGTAATCGCGTAATTACTTAAAAAGTCGTCAATGATTAATCAGTCGATTGGTTAGTTAACACAATTGTGACGTCAATATGTCGCCACCTTAATTATGATGCTTCGCGATTCCACGTCGCGAGCGCCAACAAAGATCTGATATATTGTTGGTATCGACTGCACAAGAAAAAAAATAGGTTTTGTCCAGAAATATCAGTCAGTCTATTTGGTGTGAGAGTTTTCTTGAGTCTAGCAGCCTTCGCCTCGGGCATAATGCCGAATACTGGACAGTTAATTGGCCAGTGCTGGAAATGCGAAGACTGTCGAAAGGATTTTAAGGCGGTGTGGTTGCCAACCAACGTTTGCTGTCGAGTCGCAGCATGGGGCACACAGCAAGCTCCCTACTCCAGGCATATTTCCAACGAGCTCAGAGAGGCAGCCACGAAATCGGTCTCCAGTCAACGCACCGAGAACACCACCAAGTCGCACGGAGAAGCCCTGAAGAAACCTGATATTCCAGTTCAGTGCCTGGCGGAACCATGGACGAGGCAAGTTAATTCGCTGGCGCCTTTCAGCACCCTTGGAAAATACACCTGTGGGTATTACTTTTCAAGAAGTACCGACAACAAGAAACGAAAAACAGGGATACCTCCTTCAGATCTGGTGGCATGGCGATCAAACATCTCTTAAGTGGATTCACGAAGTGGTCGGAACTATCGTTGCGTACCCGCTCGGTTAATGAACTTGTTTTGTTGGAAACAGATATTTAAACCACAGGCGTGAAAACACGAAAATCTTCGTGTGTAGTGGAACTTATCTGCCATAGCTTTCTGCTATTCGTGAGTTCAATGTTTCGTGCTGTGTATGAGATACAGATTAGTGTGATACGTCATGCTGTAAAAGCCAGTTGATCAGATATGTAATTTACACTTCACTTGTACGAGTGGTTTTTTTTTTTTTTTAGTTTCAACGATAAGATAACGTGACGTTGTAGGCGACTGTGATAGACTGTTTGGCTTGATACACTACTGTAAAACTGCTCAGCTATTCAGTAAAGCTGTTAGTAAACACGCGTGAAAGGACAAAGTTTATCCTTTTGTGAAGACAATAGACCTTGGGGGAGGAGTGGGTGCTCGGAGACAACAGTTGTGAGACACCATAAACGGCGCTAAGTACAGATGTTAAAAAAAAAATCTGCGCCTCACAGAATCGTGATTTCGTATAAATGTACCATTACGCCATCTCTGACGGCTTTTTATTGTAGGCGGCATGCTACGAGCAATTTATATCCTTCAGATCTACTGTATAACTTAAACCGAACAAATTTCATCCAGAAAGCCAATCGTTAACAGTCTCTGAGTTCCCGCAGGATCAACCCGTAACGTGTTGAGGAATCCTATAAGGGAGGGACCTCGGTCCCTCATTTTTATTAGAGCTCAGAACACGCATGCACTAGCACACGTAGGTACCGCCTGATGGTTCTAAGAGATTAAGAGAAGGGGAACTAAAAGCTAATGACTATTTTTCTTTGTTCCTGTACCCTGTCTGGTTGGCTCGCTTCTTTGGATGTTGGTGTGTGCAGTTTCCTGCAGTAGCCCCAATCTCTTTGAAACCTCTGTTCCAAACATAAGTTATCACAATTTGGTGGCGTTGTCACCTGTTCCCTATTTAACTGTTCCAAGAGTCAGTCATGGGCCTCACTCTAAGAGGTAGTGGGTGACCCTTCTCCCAAGAAGACACATAAATCACATTCTTGTGTGAAGAGATGCCATTTGACAATTCACGTAAGTGATTCAGTTTAAATATGTGATTATAAATGACAAGTACATGTACATGCAGTATTCATTTTTGTTGTGGGATTAACATAATTTATTGTTTGGGATGGAATCAACTTAATGGTCAAGTGTACTTTTCATTGGCAAAAAGATGACAGGTTTAACAGCACAGTAGCTAAACAATCTGAAACACAGCTTATGAAAGCTGACAGAAGTACGACGAGAAGAAGGGAATGCAACAGTTACAAAATATATGTCTGCAAATTCTTGCTGCCTTTTTCTATTAGTAAAAATGCAGTAGATCTGACATAAATTAAAGAAACACTATATGAAAGTATTATTATTGCCAATTAATGACTCTACATTAGTTCCAAAACACTACCTACAGTATATGCCAACAAGATCCTTTGTCAAAGCTGATCAAAGAATCTGCCATGTCCTTGTTGAGGCAAAAGGAAAAGCTTGCTCATATTCAAACAAATAACAATCTGTTGTCATACATTTATATACAACATATGTAATATTTAAAAAGTGACACAGCGCTTTAACAAACATCACATGAAACAAGCCTTTCAAAATAAATCCTCCTCAAAACAGAGAATATCTTAAGTAAAGACCACCAAGTGAACTATGCAAACTCTACACAGACTCCAAATGGAGTTACAAAAGTTTTTGGACAACAAATGATGTCCGGCGATGGAGCCTGCTATGATCAGCTTGACTGTGTATTCATTAGAAGAGTGATGTTGTCTCCTTTGAGTAAAATCCTCCCTACAAGAGCCAACAACAATAAAAAAGCAAAAATTAACAACCAGTTTCACCATAATAAAAAGGTATTGTACCAGTAACATACTGTCAGATGCTAGTCTTGTTTGAGAATTAAGCATTAAGTGGACAGTCAAAAAACAAGATTTAGCTCTTTGTTTAGAACTCCAGATGAGGAAAAAGCCACATGGTTAAAGTTTATTTATTTTGCCGAGGATAGATTGTAACCTACACGTAGCCCTAAATCAATATTTGATGCTCTTCACTGAATTTCTCATTGAAACTTTAAGCATGAGACCTGCAATGCCTTCATGTTGACAAATGTCATTCTGCACTAGGCTAAAAGACAAGGCTTTGGCTTTTGTTTTCGTTTTTTTTTTTTAGATATATAAAGAAGTTACATTATTACCAAGTGGTCTTCTTTTCTTGGTCTTAAGGTGGACTTCTTCGGCATCATCTAGCACAAGATTCATGTACTCATCAAAACCCTTTATAAACAAAATATTTCACATTAATTTGTGACTAAGAATTATCCTAAGTATTGTCAGGCTACTTCATAACATTTAAATCACCTTGAAATTATAAGGACAGAAGGCACCCTTGAAGGGCTACAAGTAACCATAGACCATGGTGCTTTCCCGCATTTATCAAGTCACACAGGCTATCTAGATTTCCTTATTTGTATTACTGTACACGTGTATGTCACACATTGTTTTGATGGAAAAGAAATATCTGTGGAAATTTACTGGAATTGGAATGAGTCAATTGTGTTTCATGTCCAGAAGCTTAGTGGACCTTTCATAAAATATATTCACACATGTATACAACAAAAATGGTTGACCATCTGTATAGCAATGAATAAAAAGTGCAGTTCTGGATGACACATTGCTTGTTTCACCTCTTGTGGAAAATACCCTTGGAAGCTGTGGGCAAAAATATTGCACAAGCACTTCAATCTAACTTCAATGTCAGACAAACATTAATTTTGTAGTCTAAACACTTACAATGATGTGTCCTTCAATCCTCATGTTAACTTGTTCATAAAGCCAAATCTGAATTCTTGATCTCTGAAGATAACAAACAGACTAATAAATAAACACATAGGAATTTGCATAAAATAGAACATACAGGCCTGAGCACAGTCCAGTTTCAAAGAGGTTACACTA